CTAAGTTCACCTCTGTCACCAACTGAGTGACCACAGCTGGAGAGAAATTGGAGTCACCAGCAGAGAGGCGATTCCTGAAGAGGGGTGGTGGACGCCAGATAGCCCTGGTCTGGGAAGTGGGCTCCAGTCTCGCAGGCCTCCTTCCTATTTCTAGAATATTCTAAACCTCTCCACGCCTCAGGGCCTTTACAGTGGCTCTCCCCTCTGTCTCGAGTGCTTTCTCCAGCCCTCCCATGGATGGCTTTTCATCTTTTAGGTCTTTACTCAAATATCACCTTCTCAAGGAAGCCTTGGGCAGTGACATCAACTTCCTGAGCCTCAGTTTCTTCTTCCGTAAAATGGAGATAATACTTATAGGATCAGTGTGGTCTACCAGTGAGATGATGACTGAAAAGGCATGTTATAACTGAACAGCGTGGGGGGAGGGAGGTGGCTTGGAGACATCAAAGGCCAAAGACAACCTGGGGCAGAGGGTGGGGCTGGGGGTAGGAGCCTGAATCCGCAGGGCTCTCCCCGCAGAATGCACAAGATCTTCTGCTCTGCTCGCCACGCTATTCTCACACACATCCCATCCCCCCACCCCACCCCCGACCCAGGCGACCGTCATCTCTCACCAGCACTAGGGCAATGCCTTCTCCCAGCACTGACTAAGCCAGCTTTTTACCTTCCCATCCCTCCCTGGACTCCTCCTTCCCACTCCTCCTTCAGCACAGTTGTAATGATTTTTTTCTACCAGTTCTGTTTTCCAAGGATTAGTGCAGGGTTGGTCCTTCAGTATCAGTATCTGTCGTCATTTGCTCATGGGACATCGTTTCTTTGTGGGTTTTGTAATTTGGGATTGTGAGCTCATCTCTCTCTGGGTCGAGGGTGTGACTCTCCAGAGCAGGTTTGATTTGCTTCTGCCAGGCATCCCCGGGATATTACAGCCACAGACGACTTCGTAGATTGATTTCTCACCTTAGGGTTTTCTGGCTACAAAGAGAATGTAAGTTCAAATTCTAAATGCTTGGGAGGGTTGGCCTGTGGTTGTGAATTCTCAACGAAGAATTTTTTCTTCTCCAATCCAGAGCAAAAGTCAAGACGAACAAGCTTCCCCGTTATCTTTCTATGCCAGTGGGGGGTGGGGCTGGGTTTCTTTCTTGTCCACCCTCTCACCAAGGGTGTGGCTCTGCAAGGGTTTTGGATTCCTGTAGGAAGTGTCTTTCCTGTCTCTTTCTTGACAGGCATCTCTTATCTTGTCCCAGATGGCTGCTAAAAGCCAACCCACTTGGTTACCTATAGAACAGCCCCCAAATCAGCTCCACACTTAGTCTTCTGGGTATAGTTCCCGCTTTGTTTTTTGGCCCCTGAGTATTTCTCTTTCTTATGAGCTCAGTTATGCATCTAAAAGGAAGCAAATTATATATTATCCAGAAAATCTACATGTTTTATGTGAGAGAGTTTTGAGGTTATCTTCTCTGTCATTGTACAGAAAACACAAATCCTAATAATTTTCTTCAGAAAGATAAACAAATCTTTCTGTACCACATACTGTCTATTGACACTCATCCTCCTATTTGCTCTTCTATGCCTTTTAGTATTCTCTGTGCCATCAGACTGGAAGCCTGCAAACTACATTTCCCTTTGCCAGGGTTCCTTTGCCAGCTGGGTTTTCAGTTGCATTCTGCCAATGGGAGGCACTCATGCCAGAGAAGAAGACAGGAAGAAGGTAGAAGCCATTTTGCTCATGGTAGTACTTCCTATAGTGGCAGTGAGGGGCTCCTGCTAACAAGCAGTGGGAGCTGTGGGTGGCTGTGGGCTCCTGCCTTGGAACCAGCAGCTCCTACAGAGGCAGCAGAGAGCAGTTCCAGGCTGCCAGCCCTTCTGACAGTGGAAGTGGCAGTGGCAGGGAAGTGCAGCTTCTCACCGAGTGGTAGCCTTAGGAACAGCTTCACAATACTGCAGGGCATAGGACTGTGGAAATTAATAAAAGAAACCTTCACTAAATTGGAGTCAGGAAGGCTTGTAGAAGGAGCTCTCACGCCCCATCATACATCATCAATTACACCAAACCAGGAAGAGATGGATGCTTGCATCTTCAATAAGAAGCAAAACTACTTTACTGCTGAAGGAAGATTTTTCTCCCCACCTGGCAAGAGCCCAGCCAATGAGAAATGCTGCAGCTCAGCCAATGAGAAACACCACAGCTCAGCCAATGAGAAGCACTACAGCTCAGCCAATGAGAAACACCGCAGCTCAGCCAATGAGAAACGCTGCAGCTCAGCCAATGAGAAATGCCACAGCTCAGCCAATGAGAAACACCGCAGCTCAGCCAATGAGAAACGCTGCAGCACAGCCAATGAGAAACACCACAGCAAAGCCAATGAGAAGCCGTTGCTACCATGAACTGTTACTTTTCTCCAATAGACTTTTGTTTAGAACAGCCCCTCCCTATTCCCCCTTTTCCTCTATAAAAATAGCTCCCCTGTTTTGTTTTGTGAGTTTGCCTATGGCTTGCTGTAGCATGAACATCCTGAATGGCAATTGTTTTGGCTATTCACAAATAAAGTCATTTCGGGGGTGAAATAACTGGCGGATTTGCCCTTAAAGTTGACAGGACTCAGATGAGCTCTGATTCCTACACATATAGTAGGGGCTTTCGGTGGTTCCCACTCTCTGCAGAGCTCTCAGAGCTCCACCTTTAGCCCTCAGACTCTGCTATTTTAGAATACACCTGCCCACTTCCAGCTGCCAGTAACTGCATCTCCGTTCCTGGGAGCAGACACTTTCCCTGCACTCAAAGCAGGCCAGAAGTGCCAGGAGAATTAACTCCATCCTTCAGGAGCCCTCAGCCAACGATTCTTGGGAGTTAGTGTTAAATAGTCCAGCTCCCTTGCCCCTCAAGTGGGATGACTCTGAGGTACGGATTTTATAACCTAGAGTTGCCCAAGGGATTAAGTTCTAGTCGCCCATTGTAATAGCCATGTGTTTGCCACTTATTGGCTGCCTTCCTGTCCCTGTCTCACTTCTCCAGCCCCCTGCCAGTGTCCCCTGCAGCTCCCAAATTAACTGCATGCACTCAAATTCTTGCGTCAGAGTTGGCTCCAGGCAAAATTAAGACACTGAGTAACATATCTTCCCCACTTTTTGCACTTCCAGGCTTCTCTAAACTAATTTCCTCTATTAAATCCCTCTGTTTGAAACACCTAGAGTCCTGTTTTCCTCATCATATCCCAACTGATGCACTTCTTAAATGGACTGTAAACTCTAAAGGGGAACCTTAGGCACTGCTCTCTCTTAGCACCCAGCACAAAGTCTAGTACACAGTAGGTGCTTAATGAATACTTGTCAACTGAGGGGCATATGTAAGGAGGTAACTTTCATTGCGTGCTCACCACACTTTGCCTGCCTGCTCTCCTTTGTTCCTCACATCCACCCGATGAGGAAGGCACTATAGTCATCTTCATTTTACAGATGAGGAAACTGAGACTCAGAAAAATCAAGTCCCTTGCCTCAAAACGTAATAGAAGTTTTCTTCTCTGCACTATAATTCTGTTTATCACCAAATTTTCAGAAAAGGCTTGTAAAACACCAGGGTGTGATCGGAGCTACACTCTGGGATGATGGGGAGGCGCCAAGTGCCTGAATGCAGGAAGCCAGAACAGCCTGGAGCAGCCTGAAGGAGAGAGTTAGGTGAAATGGGCTGAGGGCATGCTCTTGCTGAGCCCAGAGCTGCAGGGTCCAGCAGAAGAGGGCTGGCAGAGGGGAGAGGAAACAAAAACACACGGTTTTTCCCTCTGCATTCACAGAACACTTCTGTGACCAGATGTGTGGGGGTTTTGCCACACCAAGCAATTTTCCAATTCTCTGTGGACACCAACTGGGTGTCCTACAATTTAACTCACTTCTGACACTATCTACCTGGAGATAGCTTCAGATCCCATAGGTTAAGGGCTCAGTCCCACAGGACTCCCCCTACTCGCTACTTCTGATGCCAATGGCAAGTCCAGGTTGTCACCTTGTTACTGGCGCATTGGGTTCTTGTTGTCCCCCAGGATGGAAATCAAGAGAGACAACGAATGGGAGTCAAAAAGTAAAAGTTTATTAGCTTGTTCACGGGAGAGGCACAAGGGAGCCAGTGCTGAAAGGAAAGGGGGAGCTGACCGGCTCATTAGGGAGTGAGATTGTGGGGCTTTTATTAGGCGAAGGTTGGGGAGGGGGCCTTGTCATGCATGTAGAGCTGGGGTTGTGCTTGCACTTGTGCTGTCACGTAGCATGCTACTACGTGCAACGCATGCATAGTTAGCATGCTCACTCTCCCCTCGGTGTGATTTTTACTATGCTAATGGAGCTAGGGTCACCTTCAGTGGACTCCTGCATGCTAAGCCTCATGCATAAGCCCGGGAAAGTCCAGAGGCTGTGGAATGTGGACCTTGGGGGCCTCTATCTGATTCTCCTAGCTTGCCAATTGGTTAGGGGCCTTATCTTGTTAGGCCAGGGCCTTGCAGATGGCCCTGTCTTGTTAGGCTGATTCCTGTCTCAACCTGTGCTTCTGACCTACTGGCTATGAATTGTTGGTTCCCATGACTCCCTCCTCAGGTTTCATAATTTGCTAGAACAGCTCATAGAACTCAGGAATACATTTTACTTATTAGACTGAAACCGGCAACAGGCATTGATGACTAAGTAAGTAGGTACTGAAGGTATTTTTTCCTTTTTGCAATTACTGATTATAGCTTTTAGCTGTTTACCCACCCATTGTTAACTGTGCTGTTTAGGCAATATGCTCTCTGACTCCCACTAGGCTCCTATAGATAACATCTTCCTGGAGCCTGGGTCACCATGGTCATGGGTGTGTGAGCTGTTTTTCAGGAATTAGAACTCCTTGTCCACTTCAGGCTGGTTGAAACCACCAGCTCATCAACTGGGCCCATGCAGGTGTTCGACAGGTGACCTTTTGACGTCAAGAGGCTAAAAACTCCACCCTCAGCTCATGCTAAAGCCGCCATTTTGTGAACACGGATCCTATGAAGAGGCGTGGAGTCTGACTACGCTTGCGCAGATCGTCAATTACCACACCTCTCCTCACCTCCAATCCCCTCTCTCCACGTTTCAGACCACCTTACCCCCCATCCCATAAATATCCCTGAGTCCCTGTTTTTGGGGAAGCGGATTTGAGAAGCATGCTCTCACTTCCTCACATGGCTGCCTTGTGATTAAACCCTCTCTCTGCGCAATCTCATTGTCTTGGTGTTTGGCTTTCTGGGTGGTGGACAAAAACAAACCTGATTCCATAACAAGACCACTGATTTATTTTACAGGGATACAACTCATGAAGAGCCAGAGGGAAGAGGTGCATAGGACAAGGCATGGGGAAAGGGCACAGAGCTCCCGTGGCCTCTCCAGGCTCATCACCCTCCTGGCACCTCCAGGTGTTCTCCAATCTGGACGCTCTCCAAACTCCCTCAGTTAGGGTTTTTTATGGAGGCTTCCTTACATAATCATGGTTGATCAAATTGTTACCACCCAAGGGGGGGTCACCTGCCCACCGCAAGACATGCCAATAGTCAGGAGGCAAGGTGGTAGGAGAGAAAGGGTTTTTTATTACAGCTTGCTTGCAAGAGGGAAGATGGCCGACTAATGTCTGAAAGAACCATCTTAGAGAACAAAGACTACAGGTGAATTATATAGGGGGCCGGTCTCCAGGTTGGGGAGGCAGCTGGTCTCCAGGTGACAGACATCTGGTCTTGGTTCCTACTGGTCTTTTGTTTTACTGGATGCGCATCAGAGACTGGAGCTATACCCAAATTATTCAGTTGTCATTGATGATGGTTATCCCCATAGACTCTCTGCTCTGGCTGGTCATCACATTCCTAAGAAACTCAGAAGAACAAAGTTATCAACTTAAAAGCAGCTGGGAGGTGCCATAAAATCTACAGAGCATGTCTGGGTTAGTCAATCAGAGGTCATTCAAAGTTACAATATGATTTCTTTTCTACAATATGGGTTCCCTCATCTCAACCTTGTGTTGAGCTGCTATCAAAATCATTGGCCATTGGTGATTAACCCAACCTCCGGTCCCTCTCCCCTCTGCAAAAGTTGGGGAGTGGAGCTGGAAATTCCAACCCTCTACTCACATGGTCGGTTCCCTGGCAACCAGCCCTCATCTCATTAGCAAATAAAAAGACACGTCACTTTGGAGATTCCAAGGGTTTTAGGAGCTGTGTCCTTAAAACCCATGGTTCAAGTGATGGAAACATGTCATGGATAATAAAAAGCAAAGTCTTCTTGCTCCTGGTCTGTCACAGGCTGGTTAGGCCTGGAGACCATGAGTTACATATGCAGAACTGCCCATCCTCCTCAGGCAAAGAAAATTCACTGAAATATCTTTCATCTGGATCTAGTTTACCTTTCCCCAAAGCCTGCTCATTCCCCTCTCAGAGCACGGTCTCAACTCCTCGTACCCCTGAGTGTACGACTGGGCATAATCAAGACCATTTTGCAGATGAGGAATTTGATGCTCTGAGGCGCACCCATGAGATGAACTTGTTCAGGAGGGGTCATTGGACTCTGGGTGGCACCCGTTACCCGAGTCCGCCCTTCGCTCCTCAAGTCTCCAGGGGAAACTTCGCTTCAGCCCCAGGAAACCTGGGAACATCTGAGCAGCAGCAGGGAGAGGTGAAGAGTGGCACCAGCTCTGCCGGAAGGAGGGGCGGCGCCTTCCTTCCCTGAGCTGGCAGCTGTGGAAATCAGTGACCCCTTATTGCAGGAAATTTGCCTTAGGGTCTCCCTTGTGTCCCCTCATCTCCCTCCCTAACTGTCCAGGTGTGCCTGGGACTGAGGAGTTTCCTGGGACAAGGGACTTGCAGTGCTGATGCCAGGAAAGTGCCAGGTAAACCCAGACAAGTTGGTCACCCTATGTCCCCAGGCTCTGCTCCTGTTTCTCATCTCCAGTCCTGACCACTCCCCGTGTTCTCTGAGCAGATGCTTACACCTGTTAACCTAAAAGTAAAGAGGCAAAATGAGAGGCAGAGAGGTTCTTATTTTGGGATCAAAGAATTGCAGTTTAGAGCACACAGATTCAGGCAGCAGCCCAAATAGTGCCCTGCGACGAAGTAAGAGGCAGGGGCTTTTAAAGGCAAAAGAGGGAAGTTTGTGTTACAAAGAATGTTAATCGGGTTTGGCAGCAGAAAGCTAATCTTGGCTAAACATAACTGATTGCTAAGATTATAGCTAAAGGAATGTAAAAGTCTGTCAGGGTGATGAATGTCAGGTCTTGTTCTGCGGTCTCAGAATTTTTCCATCTTCACTCAGTTCAAAAGTTTAGGTTCTGCTCGATGAGGATGTGCATAGGACCCATTTCCTTAATGGTTTCCCAGCTCCAAAGCCCTTAGGCATAAGTGACCTCGTTTTGTTTCACATTTCACATTCTCCCCTTTGGATTGAGATCTTTGTCTGAAAGCGTCGCTGATCAACCACAGATGGTTTAGTCCCATGTCGCTGGGATGGACCTGTCCCAGAAAGTCATGTCCCACTTTGGGGGGGAGGGGGGACTTTTTTTTTCAGATGCTTATTCCAAGGAGTCAGCGTCACAAGGCTGAAGCCACATTTGAGCAACAAAGAGGCATTCAGGAAATGACTCAGGCTGTTTCCTCACCCAGGAATTCCATCCCGTTACCTGAAGGCTCAGGTGAGTAAGCCTTATCTACCATTTCAGTATGTTGAGTGACCATAATCTTGGTCTTTGTGGAAGTTCTGGAGCAGATCTGAGTGAGTAGTAGCATAAGAGGTTTAAATAAAAGTACTCATAGCAAAATTCCAATAATAATCATAAATAGTATTTGAAGTCCTGATCTTATCCAAGTCCCTACACTTGAAGGAAGCCAGCTGAAAACATCCATGGGGAACCAGAGGGTGTCATTAAAAGACATCGGAGCGGAGAGGTCCTGTGCTATTTTTCTAATTTTCCTGAGTTCTGACTCAACTTCACCGGAGGATCCGGCTACAGTAGGAGGCGTTGGCTATGGCACAGTGCCGCCCTGTTCTGCAGGGAGATAGTCGAGAGCCGTCTGGTTCTCTAATACAACCTTTGCTGGGGAACCAGGGATCGTGGTTGCTGATCTACCTCGAGTGGAGGAATTTGCCAGCGTAGCCATGGTTAGGGATAAATTTATCTTATCAATAGGTCATTATGGACTACACCAATCCAAGGGACAAAGCCTTTGGCAATGGTAGTCAATGGAGAGCAAACGGGGTGTAAAAAGGGGGTCCCAAGTCTCGCCTAGGCGTATGAGATTGCTGTTGGGTTTCATCTTAACGAGAATTTGAAATGGAATACTACGGTATCCTAAAAAGCTTTTGTCCTGCCATATGCCAGCTGTCTAGACATTTGTAAGCCCATGGTTCCCCATAGTAATCACACACAAAGCTGTGCCCAGAAGGAGCACATTGTACGCCATGCCTTCTAGTTCTGTAGCAGTGTCAGTGGTCAGGAGCACTTGGTAAGGTTCTTTCCAATGGGACTCAAGGGCTGTCTTCCTCTTGTAACCGCAGGCTCTCTAGAACCGGTTCAACTGACCTCATCTTATCAATAGAGCAATTAAGAGTGGTTTTTCAGGAACTGAGAAACGACTCTTTGTCTAGTTCAGGCTGGTTGAGACCATCAGCTCATCAACTGGCCAACTGATAAGCGCTCCTTTTGATGTCAAAGGGCTGAAAACTCCACCTTCGTATCATGGTAACACCACCATTTTGTGAACACGCGTACTGTGAAGAGCCATGAAGCTTGACTACGCTTGTGCAAATCATCAATAACCTCACTTCTCCTTACTTCCAATCACCTATCTTCATGCTTCAGACGGCCTTGCCTTTCATCCCATAAATTATGCCCTAAGCCCTGGATCTGGGAGACAGATCTGAGAGCATATGCCTCCTATCTCCTTGCAGAAAGATCTGGTCAATAAAGCTACTTTTCTTTTCCCAAAGGCTGATGCCATAATAATTGGCTCTTTATGTGCATTGGGTAGCAAGCCCTTGCTCGATAACACTCTAATGATGCTTCCAGAATACCCAGTCACCCGGCTCTAGACTGTGACCAACGTGATGCGGGGTCGGTGAGCCAAGGAGTCGAAAGAAAGATTTCTTAGACTCTTAAGATCTGGCAGTAGTGCTCTTTTATTTAGAGAATAGAATAGCATGGGGACAGGGCCCATGGGCAGGCAGAGCCACTGCTGCTGCCCCGAGTTGAGGGTTAGGGCTAATTTTATAAGGCATGGGTATGTGAGTCATCTCTTTACAAGACAAAGGAAAGAACATGGAAAAAAGTTAAAATGGTATCAGTGCAGGTGGGTCTGGTCATTGGGTGATCCCATGACTTTTAGACAAGAATCAAATCGGATTAAGTAAAGGTTAGAAAGGTTAGAAGCCACCACACTAAATCAGTTACATGAGATTGCCAGACAGGAAACAACTTAAGTTCTTGCCTTCCCCATTAAGAGTTTCTAGGGACAAGGTCATCTCTCTTCTTCTTCCTGGTACAGAGAGAGAGGCACCTTTACAGATAGAGATTTACCTTACAAACGTAAATGTGTCCCAACAAGGGCAAGTTCCATTCCCCAGAGCCTCCTTCCCTGTCCCAGTTTATCGAAAGCAATCAGCCCCAAGCAATCCTGATGCCAAAGAGACATATCCTGGGGTGGCCAATTTCAGGTCCCTACAAGGTCATCCCCACTTCCTTCACAAATGCAAATGCCTCTCAAAATGGCAAGCAAATTCCAGTCCTCGGAGCCTGCTTCTCATCTGCAGTTTTCCTCATCAATAGGATCCTTTAAATTGGAATCTGGGAAAGATTCTAATCTTTCCAATCTTTAACCTGTTGATGATAAGCTTGAGCCTAAGACATTAGAGAATTACAGTAGCCGGTGATACTAGCATAAGACAACACGGGGTCAGCAGAAGGTTGTGTACCAATAGACATTGGTCTGCTGCTGAGTATTCCATACGAGTGAGTTTATAGTTTCCAAAGAGGGTACTGCAAACAGTAGGTGAGACCAAGGCAATAACTTAGGCCAGGGGAGTCCAGTCCATAGGTATATAACAAAACCTCAAAGATGATTAACAGGACTAGAATCTAATATCTACAAAGATGCAAAACTTAGTTCTCTCTATAATTACTTCTCTCTCTCTCTCTATTTTTTTTTACCAAAGATAGCCACAGTATAACTAATTTGTTTGTATTAAAACTTAGCCTGATTATTTATATAAGTGAGAGTTCCTGAATTTTGGAAGGATCAAGCAGAGAGAAGAAGTAAATGTTTCATCTTCGTTCACAAATGTATCTTACCAAGGAGAAAAGATTTGTTTAAATCTGGAAAAACAGAACATTATCACATCCTCCTCAGTTCATGCAGTCCCATGAAATTAATGCTCGCTCTGCTTGAATCCAGCTTTTCCATTAGTTTTCTCAGCTTTTCCTGATGATTGAGGGTGATAGAGACAGTAATAATTCCAGGAAGTTTGCAAGGTTTTCATTAAGGCTCATATGACTTGCCCAGTGCAGTGGGTGCCTCCGTCACTGGAGATTGTGGAAAGTATGCTCCAAGTGGACAATACATTTTCTAACAGGTTTTTTTTTTTTTTTTTTTTTTGGCCACTGTGAGGGCACCAGCATTGTGGCAAGGGAGGGTGTTAATCCACCCAGAGAACAGACATAGAATAACAAGAGCACATTGATAATCCATACCCATTGCCCATCTTAATTTCTCTGATCAGGAGCAGACTGTTGCCATGTTACAAGGACATGAGGATGGCGAAAGTCTGGCAATGAGGGGCTCTTCGTTACAGAGGCAGAATGGACTTCATCCACACGTGCCAA